CCCCAAAACCCCAAAACCCCAAAACCCCAAAACCCCAAAACCCCAGGATATTGATAAATCCATGATATTTCGAAATTTATAATTCTATTAATTTAATCATATAATATCACATCTTTTAATGCTGCTTAATCTAAACAAATCAAAAAGTAAATTATAAAAAGAACCATAGCTTTTCAATCAAATACGTGGTGCAAATGACATTCAAGGCTACATTCAAGATTCAGACACCGATAGAACGAGTGTAGAATTCAATGATAGAAGCGACGCAGAATAAAATTAAAGATCAAATCAAGAACACTAACCAGTAATCTTGACAACATTCCAAGAACTCTTTAAAGTTTTTAATGCGAAATTGGTAAATAATCTCAATAAAGCATTAGATAACCTAATTTAATCATTTTAGGAAGATGGTCAGTATTTCAAACACAAGGGAAAGTCATATTAATTAAGTAAGGAGTCTATTGAGTTTATGGGGCTCAGAGCAGTGGAAAATTAATAATTGGGACAGACTGTGAGAGTGTAAAATTCCCACTCATTCTTAATGTAATCTATTTTAGTGACTATTTTTTGTAAAATCAGTAAATGTACAATCCCTTGCTAGAAAACTAGATTAACTAAAATGATCCGATTTTGAGAAATGTAAGAACTTTTGAATTTTTAAGGATTTTATTAGACTGATCAAAATTTTTTCTAAAACAGAAAACAAAAGAGAAGTTCTTCCAATGTAAACAGAGATACATTTTAGTCACCATCTCCATATCAAGGAATGCCTATCTAATAGCAATTTTCTAATTAATACAGTATGTTTCCCATAATCCCTGGGATGATGCATATGGGAGGAAGTTACTATCAACCCTCACACCCATTTTAACAAAATAGTGAACTCTAATATCGTCTGTACTAATAATAGTCATTGCAATAATATCCAGTTCCAAGAGTTATTAGTGATTTTTCTGCTTCACATAATTAGAATAGATTGGCGAATTAGCAATTAGTTTAAACAGTATAAGATGTTCACCTTGCATATTTATTTGCCTCTCCTTTAGTACTTGAGACTTCAGAGAGCAACTATCATGATATGCTAGACCCCATTGGATTCAAAGAGGAATTCGAATAAATACTCATGAAGCTTGAAACTCAATAGCTTGCTTTTAGATATCGCTATATGGTCGCTAATGACTCAAATCTTAGAGAATGCCTTAATGATAATCCATTAGGTCTTCATTTTGTTGGACATGGCTTCTAAAATATTGACGTTGCTTCATTTATGATGGATAAAAAAGGCTGGATATAAAATAGAGGCAAAGGAGACATGTTGATCTTCGAAAAAGAAGATGGATCTTCATCATACTATACCGAGACAGATCTCAAGAAACTTTTACTTGAAACATACTCCCATCAGAAACTTGAATTTGTTGTGGTAGCTAGTTGTCACTCTGAACAAGTTGGTAAAATATTCTAGAATTGTGGAGCTAAACATGTTATTTGCATTGATCAAAAAACGATTCTATAAGATGAAGCTGCAATTGAATTTTCAAAGACATTTTATAATAATTTATTTGGCTCCAGTCATAGTATTTGTAAGGCATTTATATCAGCCAGAGATCATATAGCCAAATAAATATCTAAATTAGAGAGTGAAAAATACAAACTACTAATTTCAGATGAGCATCCACCTAATAAATGCAAAATGAATGATATTAGAAGGAGACTTGTTCCAGGTTAAGTATAATATAAAGGTGTGACTCCGAAAATTCTAAAGTTACCAACTAAAGTAACCCCATTCATCTCAAGAAACATGGATATGTTTGACGTAGTCAAAACTTTAAGTGAATGCAACATAGTATAAGTATTTGGAATGCCTGGACTCGGTAAGTCCAGTCTATTGAAAAACGTTTCTAATTATATCGGTGAAAGAAACTTTTATAGGGATGGGCTTTTGTACATTAATTTTTAAACAATCAAAACCTTCTAAGAGGCATTAGCTTTGATAATGCAAAATTTTGAAGATAATACTGATCCTTATTATAAAATGAATAAGATTGACTTCTAATTCAACTAATCATTTAGAAAGCAAGAAAAATCCAGATTACTAAAGTAGATTTACAAAAAATTTTAAAGATTTAAAAAGGGACTATTGCTTGTGTTAGATAACATAGATGATATTGCTGTTGATTATTAAAATGATATAGTTAATTTATTGACAAACATCGTATAGGACTCGACTAACTCAATTAAAATCTTATTTAGTTCAAGTGTCTTCTTTGAACAATTGGAAAATTACAAAGTTAAGAAATTGAGAGGTCTAAGCCAATAACATTCAGTAGAACTGTTTTTGACTAAAATACCACTTTAAAACGAAGATTTAAATTAATTCTTAAGCTGGGAGAGAATTGTTGAGCTGCATAAATTTACAGTTGAAAAATTTGGAGAGGGAAATGTTAAAGTTGCTCTTTGCAAAATTCGTAATCACACTAGAAAATGCGTAGTAGAATATCTTGTTCAGCATCCATTATTCAATCTACTAGGAGGCTAGCCATTGTCAATATCTCTTATAGCACCATTATCTCTTAAATTCAGCCTTAAAGAAATATATTAGCAATTAGTTGAGTTGCCCATCATCAATGTATTTAAAGGAAAAATAAAAGAGGATGCTCTTATCTTGTCTTTAGAATTTTCAATAAAAATATTGAATGATTCGTATGAAAAAGCAGTTGAGCTATTTTATCTGATAGGTATTACTAAAGAAGGACTCTTTGAGGATGATTTAGACTAACTTTTTGAAGATGATGATACCTAGAAAAAACTTTAGTCACTTATTGAGCTCTCACTCATATAGTTTGAAACTTTCGATAAAGCTGGAAAGGTAAAGCGTTTTAAAGTGACCCCATTTATCGATAAATATGTAGAGTAAAAACTTGAGTAAAAATCAAAGAGAGATTTACATATATTCTTAGCTATTTACTACACCAACAAATTAAGGAGCTTGAAAAAAGAGTTTTCAAAGAACTAAGACTAAAAATTATTGAGTCAATAACTATCAAAGTATGAGTAAAACATTGTTTACTGCATGAAGGAGCTTTTTAATATGGACTACAAGAGGAATACATTACTCACTCCGTCAAAGTAATCTTAATCTTAGCGAAATAGTCCAGTTAGACAAAGAAACCCATAGAAACTTGTTGATAAGAATATGCTAGATATTGGTAATGCTACTTTAAAGATGAAAGACAGTTCTGGAAAGACAAGAATTGTTACAACAAAAGCAAAGAAACATCATGGACACACTCCTACATTATAATTTGGAACACTTGGAGAAGAAGAAAAGATTGATAAAAATTTTGAAGAGGCATTTGAAAGAAGAAAATTAAGTGTTAATTAGTTTTCAGCTAATAATCTTAGAGCCAGTGACAAAAGTCCTTATCAAGAATTCCGTGAAAGGGATGGATACTACTAATCAGCTCAGAATGAATCTTCATCTGACTATGTAACAGATAATAATTAGAGAGTTAGAAATCATACTCCTATGAGAGACTTTAAGATAAGATAATCTAGTAACATGAGATATTAAGATCAGAAAAAAGATCAAGAATAAAAAATACAAACAATTCAGCAGGACTCACGTAGTACTAGAAAGCAAAGAAACTTTCCAGAATCTCTAGAAATCAAATTTACTAGTAATAGAGTAATTAAAAATTTCAAAAATAGTGATACAAATCTTGATACTTTGAATCTATTGCCAAAATAACAACAGCAAAGTAATATTTCTGACAACGATTCTGAAAACAGTGCAGCCTCTTAGAATAAAGGAGATGAAAACAAATTTAGAGTTGGGGAGAAAAAGCTTTATATGAGATAACTAAACAAGTTATAGTAGCTAGATAAATAGTAAATAAGCAAGAACAGATTTGATTAATTAGTTAAATCTCTGACTTTAAGACTAGGTAAGACTTAGAAAGACGATTTTGAGCTCATCAAGAGGGGAGGTCTTAATTTTTAAGATCCATTGGAGGAATAACTCTCCTAACTTAAAGAATATGAGCATTTATGCTTTCATTATGTATCTATTCTTACCCTTCTTGATCATAGATGCTAAGAGGTGCCCAAAATAATATATTCGAATGAAAATTGTAGTGCTGCTTAGGACAAGAATGAATTGATAATACCAATGAATAACAAACTTCTTTAAGCAAACTTAAAGATGGCTTACATTTATTATCTATTGTGTGAAAACAAATATGATGCTGTGAATGGTGAAAATCTAGAACTATATTCTTTATTCTAGGATATCAACTGCCCATTAGGTGAAGGTATATCACTTTACCTAAAAGCTAAATATTTATAAAAAATGAAAAGAAAGAATGCCTATTAAAAGGCCGAAAAATATGTATTAAAAAGCGCAGCAAAGTTTGAGCAATGCCAAGATTTGGATGGCTTATATTAATGTGTGAAGCTTCTTGAAAAGATCAAGAAAGATCATCCTTAGATAGTATAATTGGGAAAAAAGATGATTGAAATTAAGGCGTAAATGAAGGAAGAAAATAAGGAAATTTAAGACGAGAGATTGGAACTTGACAGAAAAGCTTAGAGAGACTAGAGTGAAGATAAAGTTAGAAACTTACTCTTGAATGTGATCGAATACTCTTTTCTAAAAAAGAAAATTACAAATCCAAATGACAATGGTGGCATTTCCAGTGTTTAGGAGTAGAAAATTGGGAATAACTACACTGGCACCCAAAGTCTCGAGATCAAAATTGGAAATTTTAGAGGACCCTCTGCAACTCCAAAGATACTTACTAAGAGTAAAATATCTAATTTCAATCAGCCAAGAACAGCATTCAAGGGTGATCAGGATGAGGAAGCAATATGAAGAAAGTTTCTTATCATTGATAATTAAATTATTAGAGTAATATTTAGAGTTTGATTTGGAAAATGCTCTACAGTCAATTATGACAGCAAATTTTTAATATAGCTAAAAATTTATTCTAATATTTATTCATTCCCTCTATCTCCATCAGGCATTCTTTTTCTTTTTGATAATATAAGTATAAAAACTGTCACCCCACTTTATAGAGTTTACTGTAAATATGATAATTATTCCAATGATTTGAGTCATGTTAAATGATTGATCTAGAAATACAACATCGAATAAGAATAAGATTATTGTCTAGAAATAATTAACTACAGCTAGTCTACTAGCAGTATCATATTGGAGAGCCTTGAATCTGAATGTCTACTAAAATACAGCTATGATACCCATTGCAAGAACTATATACCAAGCTTATTAGTCAAACTTTGAAACAAAATCAAAACCCATTCCGAAAATCCAAATTATTAATGCGTAGAGTATAGTCATTGATATTCCCATATATGCTGAAGTAGTATAATCATGCAGACCTTTTAATTATCTTAGAGCTATGCTGCCTGAGGCATTAAAAATTGGATTTAAAATCAACAGTAAAGAAGCTATTACGTATTCTAAAAATGAAACATTTATTGCTGATGAAGAACTATCCGTCTATTCTAATTCTGATTTTTCCTTCTCATTTGGGCCTCCCACTATTAATACTGCTACTCCTATAAATGATACAATAAGCACAATTATTTCAAGGATCTTGAGTCTTTCATTTAAATAGTAATATCCCATAATTGCTGTGAATAAAGGCATGAGGTTAATTATCAAGGCAACTTATACTAATGGAAGATACTTTACAGCATGATAAAGCAGAAGCAATGTGAAATTTCCTTGCAAAGTCCGATATAATAGTACACCTCTAAGATGAGGTTTTACAGAATCAATCATGATTTCCTTGAAGTTAACATTTATCAGAAAAAGGTAAATTATAGATGAGATACCTGCTCACAGTAATAATATTTGGAAAGCATTAACTTCTTGATATCTTTGGAAAATTAACTTAGTTAAGAGATTGGTTATACAAAATAAGACAACGTTCATCATGTAGTATAAAAATCCCTTAATAGGCTAATCATCAGTAGCTTTTTGTTAAGTGCTTTCAACTACTTAATCATTAGGAAGTAGTGGCTATTTTTAATCTCTCGAATTATACTCCATCAAAATTTATTTAAAACTCTTAATTATTAATTTTTATTAAAATCTTTCACTTATATTT